TGCCTTTTCTTTTACATGGGTGATCCATGTGAGTTTACTGTCCAAGTAACATCCTAGGTATTTAACGCATTCCTTACATCTGATAATCTGGTTACCCAGACATAAATCTGCCAGTTTCCATTTCCACGTGAAAATTATGACCTCTGATTTTTCAGCAGAGAAAGATAGGCCATTTGTTTCACCTCAGTGTGATACTTTATTCAAGATTTGCTGAGCTTGATTGTGTAGGGTTCCAATATCGAAACCCTGTAGTAACACAATAAGGTTATTTGCATAAGCCTGTGACATGCCAGGTTCCTCCCATAGAAGTACTAAGAGTGAGTCGAATACCAGGTTCCACAGGAACGGAGAAGGAATACCACCCTGTGGACACCCTTTAGTAATATCTCTCTTCAGATACTCCTGAGATCTCTTAAGAATCTTATGTACACTGGCAGTCTCATGAGTCAGTGAGACTAACACAGATATTCCTGTTTTTAATCATAAAGATGACCCATCTAGTTATCACAGGGTGAATATGACTTCCAATAAGGACCTTATGTATTTTCTCGAAACCGATGTTATCAAAGGCTCCTACAATATCCAGTAGAATCCCAATGGTAAAGTGTCCGTTTATAACTGTTTTTTCTATTCTCCACACCAGTTGGTGTAGGGCTGAAACCAGGCCTAAAACCGTGTTGGTCTAAGCCAAAAGTATGGTTCAGATTATTATATGACTGGAGGTGCCAGAAAATCAATCGCTCCAACAGCTTGAGCTGGAAGAATGTTAGCGTAATCATTCTAAATGAGTTTGGTTTCTCATATGTATCTTCTTCTGGTTTGGAAAGAAACACACTTCATGAAGTTCTCCACACCTTAGGAACATATCCTAAAACCAAACTGGATTCGAATATGTCCACGAGAATGTGGCCAAAAATATCCCAGCCTTTCTGAAGCAGATTTGGGTGAATGTTATCATTCCCTGGAGATTTAAAGGGAAGAAATACATATAGGGCTGCTTTAGCCTTTTCAAAGTTCACTATTGTCTTAGCAAAATCCAAATCTAATGGATTATGAAGTAGTTCCAATGGATTTTCCTGGGGGTCAGAGACACTTGTGTTCCCCAGATGAAAATTCAACATGGTCAAAAGTGTATCCAAAGGGTTTATAGTATAACTGCCATCTGGTCGCATAACCGATGAGAGTTGAGACTCCTTGAGATCTCTTAAGAATCTTATGTACTCTGGCAGTCTCATGGTAGGACAGAATATTTGTGCAGAAGGATCTCCATGAGTTGTATTTAGTTTTCCTGATTTCACTTTTAAATTTCTTTTGTAGAATTTTGAAGTTAGACTAGTTAACTTCAGATTTATTTCTGACTGCTTTCCTATGAGCACTCTGAACCTCTAGGCGGAGGCTTTCAAGCTCCTTGGTGCACCAGACTCTCTTGCTAGAAGAGTACTTCCTTCGTTTGAGAGGGCATGATGCATGATAAGATTCAATAATGATATTTATCAGGTTGTATGCTTGAGTATCAAACTCCTCGACTGAACAATTATTGTCTAAAACCTGAAGGTTAATGACATTAGAAACCAGGGAGTCCTTATAAAGTTCCCAATTTGTGTTTTTAATGTTTCTGAAATATTCAGCTGGGATTTCATCTCTAATACAAAATTGTATAAGGCAATGATCTGAAAGTAAGGGATTGCCACTTACATGCCAATTCTCAATAAGGTAATAAATATCAGAAGAAGTTAGTGTGAGGTCAATGACTTCTTCTCTTCTTCTGTTGACAAAGGTGCGGTGATTTCCCGTTTACCCAAGTTAGGTTGGTATTCATTATAAGTTCCATGAGTTTTTCTCCTCTAGGATTGGTATTAGAACTGCCCCATGATAGTGGTGATCGTTTAACATAACCACCAATAACCATAAGAATATTGTTTATTTCACAGAATCTCACAAGATCTATAAATTCTTGTGGAATGTTAAGGTCATAAGCCATGTAAACCGAGCAAAAACAAATGTTTCCTCTCAGTGAACTGTTTATGTCATTAGTTAAAATAGCAGTTAAGTGCTCTGTAAATTGAGATAATTTCATAGCCTTTATATTTTTAGAAATGTAAATGCTAGTTCTAGGTCTTTTATTAGGTCCCTCTGATGAAAAGAAGTGTGCGTTCATGGGCCTACCAAGGATTTTATCCTTGTACCCCCAAGGTTCTGGAATTAAGGCAACAAAAGTGCTTTGCTTACCTAACTGAGCAGCTAAACTGTATGAAGCTGCTCTGCTATGTTGCAGGTTTAGCTGGCTAACCGTACCCATTAAAACAGGTTAAATGATAGATAAGAACTTACCCTGAAGAATTTTAGGAGAGACTTAGTCAAAAGCCGCATCCTTAACTCACGACTTCAAAGGAAGTCGTGACAGGGGAAAACCATTCAGAGGTGTTTCCCAGAGCCTCCAAAGAAAGCTCTGGTTCTGACTCCTTTTCGGTTTCCCCTTCTTCCATCAACTGTTTCTTCGGAGGATCCTTGGGTGGAGGAAATGATTTCTCCTGTTGTCTTGGTTCCTTCAACTGTACAAAGATACGGGCACCACAAAAAAGTTTGAAATCCTGGGCCTCTAGGTAATCCATGAGCTCAGGTTCCACTCCCAGCAGCAGAATGTTACCTCTGTCTCCAGGGATGACTGCCTTGATGGTGATCTTCTTAACATCCAGGCCCTTGTTACAGGCATCAAGGAGCTTGATGTTATCTTTTGGTGACCTGTTACCAGGAAACCAAGTGAAAAACCTCTTCATGGCGGGGGGGGTCTGTCCCCAGGAGCCATGGCGTGATAACCGGGATGGTTTTCTTCAGGGCCAGGTAGATCATTGATTAAAGTCTTTAGGACATCCACAGTCTCCTGGTCCTCAAATACAATGTTGAGACAACCATCTCATACTGCAATATTTCAAAAATTTTATGAGATTTTGCATTCTGTTGCAAAATTTGTTCAGCAACTTTGAAGGTATTCTTCCATTTTGAACTTTTCTCCAAATAAATATATATATCTATTATCAACATTTTGATTTCCAAGCCAATTAATTTCTCAGTAGCCTTTTTTGCAGCTATATGCAAGAAGTGGCATGGACAACCTTGGATGATTATACTTGGTTGATGCATTTTGATAAACGATGTTACACCTTTAAACTTTCCAATCATATTACTAGGATTATCTGAAGAAGATGCTAAGCAATTTTTTGAGTCTTAACCTTTGCTTTTCAAGTTTTAATTTATACAATTAAAAATACCTTCTCTGGTATTATTCGTGCACTCTAAATAGAAATCAATGACATAATTTTCATTAATTTTTCTTTACTGTAATATGTAATTTCTTTACTTCCATCAGTATTTATAGAAAATGATGTATTGCACACTGATTTTATAATATCGGCAACACCACTTTCTGGAAGCGTTTTCACAATAGCAGCAGTTTTGGTATGACCGCAGCTAAATTTTTTTGCTATGGCAGAATCTGGAAACATTGCTTTGAAAAGCTCTTTGGAATGATCCGAAACAGAAAGAGGTAGATTGTGTTCAATTAAAAACCGAACAAAATAGCATTTGGCTTCTATAGGACCTGTTTCGTCATCTTAAAAAATTTGTTATTTCTTTAGATTTTACAGTGCCAAGTTCTATATGCTTTTGGGAAAAACATGCCGTTTACAGTCATCTTTTCCGTCATGTGCACTGAGAAGTCTTTTTTGCATACAGTGTGCGTGATTCACAGAAATTTCGGATGCTTTAATGCATGGAAATTCTGAAAAATATGTATCTTTAAATTTCTGCTTTGATAATTTTGGCTTAAAAAACTTCCACCTGAATCACAGTTCACAAGACACACGATAAGCTCTCGCCGCAATCCAAACAATGGAGGCGAAGGCAGGCTAAACCCGCAGCACCAACGTACGTGGGAGACAACGTAGACAGATGTTGCGGGGAAACTATTGGCAAGTCATTAGTGGTTGGAGTTACTGATCTACGATTGGCTATTCTTCAAAACCAGCAGCACACTCAACACATGATATATGATGACACGAGTATTCAGTCAATCATTGGATGAATTAGTTTGTTCTCCTACTCTGTTTCTGTAAAATCCGTAGTTTCTTTAATACTTTTCGTAGCTCGTAGTTTTTCATGAATATCCATAGAAATTACAGAGCATCCATAGTAGTTGGAGTCTATGAATATATGCACACACTATATATAGGTGGCACATATACACATTATATATATATATACACATATATATATATATATATAATGTGTATACATGTATATATATATATAATGTGTGTGTATATATATATATAATGTGTGTATATATATATATATAATGTGTATATGTGCCACTTCTGAATGTTCATTAAATATTAAATTTTGCTTTAAATTTTAGCGCAGTTTTTTACCTATTCTTTTTGCTCTTATGTGTGATTGCCTAAATATCCATGTAAATTTATAACCTCTCATTTACTAACATTCAACCTTTTATCAGTTTCAAATATTAACATATTCAAAATTTGAATTTCTTCCTGCTTAGACATTTGTAACAGGCTGACAGCAGTTTATGATATTAAGCAGAGAAGTTAAAAATAAAATATTAACAATGCATAAGCAATCAGTATATAAAACTGCATAAATGCTCTTATTTTTCTAGCTGATTATGGAAATTATTTGAAAGATACAGACAGAGTCTATCATGCATGCATTCTCATAAAAAATTAATTCAGCAATTCAAGTTCTGCAATGAGATAAATACAGAAAAATTAATTATAACAAAAGATTCTCCATTGATTCTTACATAATTAACTAAAAAACTTTAATGCATTAATGATTAGGCAATCTACAAATTATTAAAATATCAGTTCCTAGAGAAGAAAAATACAACTAATTAAAATAACTTCTTTAAAGCTAAAATATTAACAAATTAAAAGTATTTCTATGTTTTGCAGGTTGTCATAAATATAATCATTGTACTTTACCTCAAAATCCATATCTTTAGCTAAAGAATTTATCTCTTCTAATACGCCAGAATAGTCATATTGATGATACATGCTCAAATCCAAGGATTTGTTGAATGTAACAGTATTTGAACTAAGAATAGAAAAAAAAAAAAATAAATAATAATAAATAAATAAATAAATAATGCTGTTTAAATAATTAATTCAACATAAAAGGGACGTATCAATTTTTAATAATAATACTGGAATGTTTAATAAGATGAAATTAAAATGATAAACTTTATTCAGTTTATTTCACCTAGCAAAATAATAAGCACAGTGATGCTAAAATATCTGATAAAAATGCAAAGGCAGGTAGAGGGGACTGAAATAAGCAGATTTTGTAATGGAATGTGTGTGCAGAAATGACACGTTGACATGATTTGTTTTGGTTTATTCAGTCACAGCAAAGTGCTTGAGGACTACCTGCCTAAAGCAAGGGATGCTTTTATGGAGAACTTTCTAAGGAAAACTGGCACATATACATGTTACACATGGGAAAAACCATGAAAACGCCCATGCAGCCAGCTCATTTTTTCGAGATCTGAAACCTGCCTGAAGCACCAGCGTTCAGACTTTATCACTTGGCTGCTCATGTTGATGTGGAAGGTAGCACTAGGAGGTAAAAACAATACATGGCACAAATCATCATTTCCCATTTAAATGTTTAGCAGTAAACATTGCTATATAAAGGTTGAGACGTGTGGCATGCATTTTAATTATGAGGATGCAAATGAAAATACAGAAACTGTCAAAGGATGTGTAGGAAACAATTCTTAAGTATACAGTAGCCGAATCGTCAAGCATTCAGGCATATTAACCAGCAGCTGGCAAGAGTGGACCATTCTGTGCCTGAAGGCATGATGTCAGTAGGGCAAATATTGCAAAATTCCTGCAGTAAAAGAAGCTGAAACACACACATTTGAGGATAATCCTGCTGCAAGCACAGGGACTAATGGACATCATTTGGTAAAAGCAAACTAGTTGTTTAGATCAGTGGTTCTCAACCTTTCAACTAAAGTATATCATCTAAACAAAAACTGAAAACCTTTAGGACCACCACTAAATTTCACAATGATTATTTTTCTGAATACAAATATTAAAAACCAAAATTCTGAAAGCTTTCAGGTTTTATATTATGCCCAAAGGGGCATTTTTTAACATTTTATGTGTCACCTTTATTTATTAAATATCATGTTCTTCGCATTTAAACCATAAAATTCAATTCAACAGCAATATCACAAAATATTTAAAAGAGCACATTTTTAAAATTTCTGATACACAGTCTTGCAGCTAGAGATAAGTTTTTCCCCCCTTACAGTGTTACAATTGCCTTTGAGATGTTAATCAAAAATTTGTTAAAGTGTTACAAAATATTAAATCGATAATAAAACAAATTCCAAATTTGGGCTTTCAGAAACCCATATTCAGTGGAGGATTACATTATTCAAAATTTGATGGTTCTAGGTACCATTGTTTGAGCACAATGCGAGAAACATACATACATTTATGCAGATTATTCCTTATTTAATTTCTTTAAATATAACACAGGGCAGTATTGGGTGGCAAAATGGCAAAAATTTGAAAAGTGAAACGGACATTTAAGTTTTTAACGCAAAATGCCAAAACAAAGTTAATAGCCCTTCTGGGCTAACACCCTGTTGGCTAAAAAGAAAGAGTATTTACACATTATTAAATTCGAAAGCAAATATAAAATTATAAAAATAAAAATCTGATAGCTTTAAAATTTTACATTACGCCCAAAAGTGCATTTTTTTTAATGTTTCGTTGTGTTACCTTTATTAAATATGTTCTTCACATTTAAAATTTAATTCAACAGCAATATCACAAAATATATAAAAACAGCATGCTTTTAGAATTTCCGATACACAGCCTCGCACGCTGAAAATTAAAATGTCAACCAATCCCCGTACAGTGTTGCCATTGCTCACTTTGAAATCATTAAGCTTATTAATCAAAAATTCATTAAACAAATTTGGGCTTCCAAGTGGACATGTTCGAATGGAAGAATACGTTATTCAAAATTTGATGGCTCTAGGTAGTTGTTTTTCAAACTGCGAGAAACATTCATGCACATTCTTCATTACTTAGTTTCTTTAAATATAATACATGACGATAATAATATTTGGTGGCAACAGTTTGAAAGGTGAATCGACGCAAAATGCAGTTTTGAAATTAATAAGTTGGTTACCATTTTAATTATCAAAATTTAAGTTATAATATTCTAAAATTTAGTGCAAAAATTGAGCCTGTTTAAGAGAAATCAATTTCTTTATGTCTGCTCTTATTTCACTTAGTTTTAAGCGTAAATTAGAATCCAGATTTAATTTTGATCTGTATTTATTTTTTAAATATAACATGGAAGAAAATCCTTGTTCACACATATAGGTTGTGCAAAAAGGCAATAAAAATTTAATAGCTTTATTTCAAAGCTTCTCTCTCTATATTTTTTGGGGGGAATACGCCGAAAGTTAATAAGTGTGTTATTTTTGTAATCTTCAGTTAGAGTTCGATCACAGGAAATTTCTATCAACTGTTCTTTTTCTTCGCGAGATAAAATTTCTGGTATATGTGAACAAAATGGATTCTATTCCAATTTTCTTTTTTATAATCCTCGAGAAAATACATGTTGAAATTATTTATCAATTCAAAATAATAATTTTAAAATAATTTTTAAAAATAATAATTTTTTAATTTTGGATGATAATCCTTCTTCTAGTTCCAATTATTTTCGGTTAGAAAGCTTTCTAAAAGTGGCAAAAAGCTTAAAGTATTATTATCCAGGTCTTTGATTATTAGCTCGAGTTTTTTTTATCATTCCCTTTATTTTATCTCTACAGGTAAACAAATTAACATTTTGTCCTCATAATCCTAAATTTAATTCATTTAACTTTCTAAAAATATCAGCCAAATATGGTAAACGCGCCAACCATAATTCACTAAATAAACATTTTTGCAATTCAAATTTTGAATCACAGAGGACAATTTGAAGTTTTGATCGAAGTTCAAAAGGACTATCTCAAACTTTGCCTCTGGATAACTACCTTACTTCGGAATGTAATAAAAGTGTTTCATGTTCAATGCCCATTTCTTGGCGCTAAATCACAAATATTCTTGAATTTAAAGCTCGGCTTTTAATAAAATTAACAATATTCACAGCTTGATTTAAAATGATTTTCAGGCTTTCAGGGATTGCTTCGGCTACTAAAGCTTTACTATGAATGGAGCAGTGAGTAAATTTAGTTTCAGGTGCGACTTTCTTTATTTGAGAAATAACATTAGACTGTTTTTCTATTAAAGCCGCTCGTCACTGCACTTATTCCAAAGAATATTATTCTCAGATATAAAACTGTCAATTACTTTGAAAATTTCACTTGCAGTTGCTCTATCATGAAGAGATTCACAAATTAAATACTCTTCAGCAATTCGTTTATCTTCTTTGAAACGTATGTAAACTAATAATTGAACAAAGTTCGTTATATTGGTAGTTTCATCCAATTGCAATGTGAAATACTCACTGTGTTTTATTTCTTGAATAAGTGTCTCTCTTATGGAATCTGCCATTTCAAGAATTCATCGACTTACTGTATAATATGATTAAGTTCATTTGCCACTTTTTCGTTGAATAATCTTAAAATGATATCTTTAGCTGCTGGTAATAATATAAGGTTTTCTCCAATAGTCTGAGCCTACCCAGTCTTAGCAATTCTTAGGCTTACAAGGTAACTAGCTACCAAAGCTTTTTCATTTGAAGTAACAAAACCTTTCATTATGTATCAACTATTTTTGAACACCGATAACTTCCTTTAAAATATTCTTCAGATTTATACTTTAAATTTGCATACTTAGATTCAAGATGTCTTTTAAAAAACGATGGTTTCATACTTTGGATTAGATAATACTTCGCGAACAACACATTGAGGTAGAGGGTCTATTTCATCTCCATTCAAAGTAAATCCAAATGGTAAATAACTTACATTATATTTTCTATGAATAGCTTTTCTTATCTTTTCAATTTCAAGTGCTATTAGATTGTCCTGGATCCATCACCTGTAAATCGTCACTTTTCCACTTAGTCAATTCTAGCCATTTTTCAATTTTAAAAATCTAAGTTTGTGTCATTATTCTTTCACAAATATTTAAATGCACAATATATTACGAGTTCTTCCAAAACAGAAGATGATATTCTCAAATCACATAGAAAAGTAAGGAACACAAAGTAACAAGAAGACAAAATGCTTGCTTGCCGTTAGAGATAGCAAACCGACACAAAAAATGATTTCCATTGAAAATGGAGTAATATGAGCCTGGAAATAGTGACAAAGTGTTCACATGACTAATAAATCAATAAACTATAGAGAACTCTTCATTATTATTATTTGTCCCCTGGCCCAAGAGAGAAGGCGCTACCAGCTTTCTCCCTCTTCTCCACTAGGGGACAATTTGGACTGGCTACTCTGTTCCTGGCTGCTGTCGGTGAAGCACGAGCTCACCTCTCTTTCGCTTCACTTTCATGATTTTTGACCTACATGGACTTATTAACTATAAAAATTCTTATTGTGTGAACTATAATCAATGTGACTGTGTATCAGTGAACGTGTGTTAAAATATATATCTTTTTCTAGTGTTAAATAAAAATGTTAAAAATAATCGAGCTAAGCTATCATCGTTTTATCTGCAGCAACCCCAAAATGGCATCCATAGACGAAAGCCATAAATGGTGACCCATCAAGCTAGTGAACACATGCCTCCTGGAACCTGCTTGCATCGTCAATTTCTGTGCGCATAAAGTGCAGTGAAGTGAAAATATCGTCTGTAAAACGATTGTAATCCATCATTAGTTTTGTGTTGTCGTCAAAATAGTGTGAAACACAATTGTGTCTCCTTAACAACATGCTTGTGAATGTGCCTCATGAGAAATGTCAGAGTGCTTCGAAGTGATTTACATATATATCCTACAATGTGGTTACATATCACAAAATAAGTTTTTCGGAATATTTTTCTATAAGGAATTGTGTTATGCTGAATCTGCCGCTGACTGAGCAAATATTTCTCGTATAATTCGGAGGTAAG